TTGTTCTGGGTTGCTGCAGTGCGTTTGTGCTGATCTGAATAATGTTCTTACACAGCTCCTCTTGTGGGAGGTTGGGTTGTTACTTTGGGTTGTACTTTGGCACAAATGCACCGCAGCAACCCAGAACAGCAGAAAAAGGAAACAGACAACCTATACACTACCAGAGGGGGGAAAATAAAACAAAACCCACACCCCCACTAACACTGATAGGGCAGGCCACTGAATATAAACAGAGAGCAAACCTCATTTCATTTTAGCACTGAACATGTTACCTGCCAGGTAACGAAACGTTTGCAAGAAAACAACCAAGCTCAGAGAACACCAAGGACTCCACAATGCTGGTTAACAGAACTTTTGCTGCCTTAACATTTAACATTAACCCAGATATTTGACTTTCATTTTTAGTTTCATTATGACCACAATTTGATGTTAATAAAGTGGCTGCAAAAACAAAATGAATAAAAGATGTCTTTGGTTTGTTGGAGATGTTTCAGAGAATTTCAATCACTCCTGCATAAGTTGTCCACTACTTACATTGCTCAGAAACAATTTCTCTCCTATATATTTTTATATTTCCTATTCGTTGAAAATGACTGGAGATCATGCTCAGTTCTGATCTATTCTTTCAGACTCAATCAACTTTATATTGGCAGCAGGTAGATTAGAAGAAGCAACAAACAACCCACAGAACTTTCAATAGATAACTAGATTAGGAAGTTATGGAAAATAACAATTGATTCACAAATTGAGCTTTGCTAAGAGGTGGATTGAAAAAGGTAGTTTTACCTTCATCGTGTACTTTTGCTCTACAAATCAACCATTAAAGGATCAAATTAACTTTTTCAAGGATCAAATTAATTGCTGCTAGTTGTTTTCAGATGATCCTTCTCATAGAAATGGAGTGTCTCTGAAAATGCTTGGTGTGGATGTATGCTATGTTTTGTTTTGTTAGTTTAAGTTCTTAATAGAATAATCTTGAAAAGCTTTTTGAAAATAAAAAAAGCTCCTTGTCTTAAACTGGCACTGATTTTTAATGTAATCTTTTGTTTGTATGTAATATGTTATTTGCAGCATAACAATTGTTTCCCATTGTCAGTTGGATTCCTGCTCATCTATTTGTCAAGACCAATGTCTTTGTTGTACTACAATGGTGTCAAAAATGACCCCCCCCCCCAAAATTACCTTTTTTAACATTTTCAGATAGGCCCCAAATGGAAAGATGTTGTTACTAAGTGCATTAAGGGTCATTATCAACCCTTGCTACTCCTTTATGCAGACCCAAGAGGAACTCCAGTATCAACCCAGAATCTATCCACACAGGATTTACCACAGTATAGAAGAACTTACTATGATAGTGAAGATTCAGGTAACCTTTTGGAGGTTTTCATATATTTTTGTAGCCATCAAGATGTATGATATTTATATTAACAGCTCTGGCAGTAAGTGGAACCTTGTGAAGTATCAGAAATCTGCAAAATGGTACAGAAATGGAATTTCAGTATTTGGCAAAGCTCTTGCCTACCTGAAGTACAGCAAATTATTCATAAATTGTGCAGAAATTCAACTATTCTGAATACTATATGTCGCTTTGTACATATAGTGGGAATAATTATCAGAGGATTATATATTCAAAAGATTTTGTATGCTTTATTTTTCACAAATAAAGTTAAATTAAAATTCTTGAAAAATATATTGGTGTTGGAATGTAAGACTGATAAAAAAAATCTTCCATATAAAGAATTCCTTTTGAGCTAGATGGCATTTATTGATAATAAAAAGTTAGAAAATTTAATCCAGAGTGCTTTATTCAGAGAACTGAAGATGTAAAGAAAAATAGTTTGATATCCTACTGAAAGTGAGTGCATAAAGATAATTTCTCTTTATTTAACCCCCCCTTTTTAAAAAAAAAATATCACTGATATGGTACACAGATAGTTAAAACAATTTTAAAGACTTTATTAGTTAGGAGGCGTCAGCTGCACTCCTAAACTCACTGGCCTCACACAGCTGCTTAGAAATAGGCTGATTTAATATAGTTTTCTGCCCAACTAACTAGGCATATGTATATATAAAAATTTGTGAGGAATTTTCATCCATAAGCTACAGTTATGTCCATCAACATCTATTAAAAAGAATCAATAGAAGTTAAGTTTTTCATTAGGTCCTTAACTCTGCGTTTTCAATACAGTCAGAGCTAAAATATAAACTCCTATTTTATCACCCTCTGCCAGGACAAGTTGACTCCTGGAAAGACCTGATCACAAACCTGCCAGGATTGTGGGCTTGTGTCTGCCTGCAACATTTGATCCCAGTCAGATATGCTCTGGGCTTTCTTCCCTCTCTGCCTGGATAAGCAGGAAAAATGTGAGGTTTTGGCTGAGCTGAAAGATGTGCGATAATTTAACCATTGGACCAAGTTGGCTAGATAATACCCCTGGAAATTCTGAATTTTTCACAATAGATTTTTCTCTGCCTGTTGTATGCCCATTTTTGCATCATGGTGCCATATTATATGGTGAAGGATATTGGACTGCCTGAAATTATCTGCTATCCTTATCTGTAGTGTCTGGAGATGCAAATTTCTTCTCTTCCATCCTCTCTTCCAGTTTTTGGTCACTAAGAGAAAGAGTGAAGTCTCATGGCTTACCTGATCTTCCAGCGAATGCTGACTGCATGGATTTCTTACTTGTAGTGATCCTGCTGATCAGAATTGCTGGAAGTGATGCAGTATTGCTGGACAGGAAAGAAAAACCTCATAGCTTGACCCTTTTTCTCATCATTAACTTCAGGTCACTGGCAAAAAGAGGGAAACCACAAGGTGATTGAATGTATGCACATAGAAGGGTGATGGAGGTGAATTGCAAGGTGTACACACACAGAGGTACAGCCTCCTAGTGGTCACTGAGCAATCTTTGCTATCTTAGGAGTTGCTCTGTTATATGTTAGCAATTTTCTTATTTGTAGTTCTAATGGTCACTTTTTTTTTGTATAGGACGTGAACCTTCTATCTCAAGTGACACTAGGACAGACTCTTCTACAGATAGCTATCTGCATAAACATTCCCACCATGAATCTATGGTCAGCCACTTTTCTTCTGATTCTCAAGGAACTATCATTTATAATGTGGAAAATGATGTGGTTTCACAAAGCAGCAGGGACACAGGTATTCCTTTTCTTTTAAATTTAGAATGAAAATCATATAATTCATGAGTAATAAATTCACTGGAAGTCAGTACAAAACTAAGTACTCAGAACACATTCTCTAATGCTTGTGTAGCCCTCCAGATATTGGATTGCTGCTTCAGTGATCCTTATCATTGGCCACAATAGTGAGGGTTAAAGGAAATTAAAGTTCAGAAATATTTGGAAGCCCACATGTTGGGGAATCTGCTAGTTGAAAAAAAGAGAATAATCCAGGTGCTTTCATTGTCCTTTCAGTAAGAATACTCTTCTCTTACAGTGCTCAGGTACCACAGAAACTTAGTGTGTTTCAGTTTTTCTTTTCAAACATCCTACTTAATTTAGTGTGTCAGAAAGAGGCAAGCATAAGCATTAAAGGGACATAAAACCTGATCCTGGCCTGTTTCTGTTTGCACTATTTCTTCATAAGGATTCCTATTCTTGGACTCATTGTAGAATTCTGATAACTTCCCCTCCCCATCCCCCAAACAACTATATCTTTTTCTCTTACAACAATGGGAACAGGTAACCTTTTTGCTATTGGGGGCTATATTTTTAAATTTTTATTGTAATTTATTAAAGTGATTTGTATGTGACTTGTATTTATCAAAGTATTTGTATGTGTTGTAAACCTGTATCTAATGTAAAAAAAAAAATCGTCCTCCCACCCAATAACTGTCTTTATATTTTAATAATTGCAACTCAGCACACACAGGCGCCATACTGCCTGTGAAAGCTGTAAATAACATCCACTGACCTCCAAATATGAAAAATAAAACCAAATAAATAATATAGTCAAAGAAACCCAAATCTCTCAGGAACCCTGTGCTTTTGTGAGAGATGCTGCAAAACATTGGCAAATATTTAGGCTGCAATATTAGGTAAAATTGCACAACAATGCCTTGCTGCCAGGTAGGTTTCTTTACCTCTCTTCCCCAATATGTCAATTACTAAAAATTTGAAGTACGTAGAAAAATTGTACTAATATGAAATGTTCCCCCACCCCTGTACCAGGAATAGATGATAGGTCCAAGAAGAACAGTAAAAATAATAAATGAAAGTAGGTCCATTCTGAGAGATCTGGGGATACTACATCTTTTAGAGCAGTCTTTCTCAGCTGGGGTCCTGTAGGATCCTAGGGTTCCAAGAGAGGTCATTGGGTTCTACAAGAGATGATGACTGAAAAAAAATAAACATCGCAGTGGGGGGAAATTTTTACATGGTGCTTTGCTGTTGTTGTATAGGTTGTGAAACGTGGATTGTGTAGTTCAGAAGCGAATTGTATTATTAAGTTTTCATATTTTTTGCCATTTTTATGCAAAGGTTCCCTGAAACCTGAAAATTATTTCAAGGGTTCTTCCAAGGTAAAAAAGTTGAGAAAGGCTGTTTTAGAGAGTCAGTATTGCATCATTCTGAACCAAGGTGCAATGTCCTACTTTCAGTTCCTGTGAGTTTTCTGTAGGATTTCTAGAAATCAGTATTAGTTCATTTAAAAAACTTTATTCCACATATAAAGTAAATCTAGTTTTTTTAAAAAACTAATTTTCAAGCATTAATGAACAGTTTTTATATCTAAAGACTGAGAATGAACGAAGTTAAAAAAAACACCCGCTGAACTATAATTTGTAATGTGTTTTACATCTGTAGTATATTCTATTCTTTCAGGTCACCTGACTGATAGTGAATGTAATCAGAGACATACTTCCAAAAAGAGCTCTCTGGCAGACCGTAAAAGAAATAACAACAGGTCTAGAAAGAAGGGGGATGAAGCACAGCCATCCGGATATCACAGTGAAGGTAAAAATTATTGGATTCTTTCATTTGTGTTTGTCAAACATTGGGCACTGGATTGCTTTTTGGACTGTATTAGTTCAGAAATTTGATGAAAACAGTGCTACTGATGATATTTATATTGTTTACATAGTGTTCTTCTGTTCTTAAAACATAGGGGAGACACTGAAGGAGAAACAGGCCCCCAGAACTGCCTCTAAAATGTTGAGTGGTACCAGCAAACTAAGGGAATTTAAAGAGACAGTTAGCAACATGATCCACAGCAGACCATCACAGACAAGCCAGGGCTCCCCTCGTGGGAAGAATCAGACTGAAATCCAGTCACTACCTAGAACGTTGGCCATTCAGTCTCGAGATTGGGAAATAGAGAGCAACAGTAGTGAATCAAAGTCAAGTTCTTCTAGCAAGTACCGTCCATCCTGGAGACCCAAAAGAGAGTCGCTAAATATAGATAGCATCTTCAATAAAGAAAAGAGAAAACAAAGTGGCTACACCCAACTCAGCCCCTTCTCAGAAGATGCAGGTAAAAATGGACAAGAGATATAGTACAAAATGGAATGAAAAATATATTCTTGTTTATTGATAGTCATTAATACTATCCAACCAAGCAAATTGTTCTACATATCAGTAAGCAAAGAAAAATATATGCCGTGTCAAATGATATTTAGTTATTAACATTGAATATTCATTTGTGCTTACATCTCTCTTTTCTTCATGAAATCTTTTGTAATTCTTTTCCCTATATATGCAAAAAAAGAATAGAAAGCAACCACTTACTTTTGTTGACAGTATTTGATGGTGAGATTAATGGATTATAATCAGCAAGCTGGAAAGGGCCATTTTAGCCATCATGTCCAACTACTCAGTGCATCTGTCCACATTAAAATATCAAACAGACGTCTGTCTAGCCTCTGCTTGTAAAAGCCAGTGAAGTGGAGCCTACCACTTCTGGGTAATTGGTTCCAACAAATCACAGAATGCATATTTCTTCTGCAAAAATAGTGCAATTGGCTAATCCTATGAGCATTAAAACATTTTAATTAAAAAATTACTTGTACAAGGAATGCTGAATACTGTCAGAGTCTGCACGCTCAATTCCCAAGACCAGTAAATCCTCTGGACTCTATTTGTTTCCAGCAAAGATTTCTTT